CTTAAAACGATATAAGAAAGAAGTTAAAAGTTCACGTCTGTTTATAAAAGTTTATTTTAATAAACAAAGTTTTACATTCACTTGTGTTAAAAATATATGTTTTAAGAAAGATAAAAGTAACAAAATACAAAGTTTATAAAGACAAAAAATTATCATTTTTGAAACACTTAAAACATAAGCCGACATTACATTTTTCACAACAAGTTGTTACGCTGGAGGTGCAGCCATCTCCTTGACATCTGCGCCGTTTGTTATTTGGTATAACAGAAATGAAGTGGTTGCAACGATCATAACGGGAACACTGAGCTTCTTCTCGAGTTTTTGGGTGTCGAAAGCTACTGGGTGGTTTTGGTATACCCAGTGTCGTACAATAATATTCTGCTATAGCGCGGCGGAACGGAAGTTCAGAGAGCGCTGAACCAGATTTGCGATGGAGCAGCCAGGCATTTTGAACAGAAACATCGATAAGCCAAGTGAAAATTGCGAACCACCATTTTTTCCCTCTGGCTCCGATGCGGTAGGCATTTACATTTTGGTCCGTTCTGTCAACTCCACCCATACCAGCGCTGTATGTGGTGACTGCATATGGACGAGGTATGTTTATTGTTCTCTTCTCAACTCTAGAATACCTGCCTACTTTGCTTATGGGATTTTTTCCAAAAACGGTGGAACCAATAGTCACTACCGAATTATCTACCCATTTAGTGATATAAATATCAACAAAATCAATCTTTTTAGTCACAACAAATCCACGCTCTTTCTTTTTCAAAGCTTTTTTGTCAGGTAATGGACATGATTTTGGTAACATATTTTCTCTCAAAGTTCCAGTACCGTAGTAACCACGTTGTTTCAATCCTAACAACATTCCCATTGAGGTGAATAGGTTGTCAAAATAAAAGGCAAAAGGAAGATGCTTTGTATTCTCATCGAATTCGTCAATCATCGAAAATAATGGCGAAGCATTTTTGCTATATTTAGGTGGATATTCTGGGTTTGTGCGCGGGTTGTTCCCTTGATACATTTCGAAATTGATGAGGTAGCCAAGTGGTGTATTCAAACACCACATTTTATATCCAAAACGTAAAGGTTTACCCCGAATAAATGGTTTGCATCCATGACGTCCATAGTATTCCACCATGAACTCGTCGTATGATAAATCGGGTTCTGGCTTGAAATTTTTCAAGAACTTTTTTTTTAGAGCATCAGTAAGTGGTCGCAATTTCCAAATTTTGCCTCAGCAGAATAACAGTCAGCATCAACAAAATGAAGGTAGCGCAGTATTAATTCAAACCTATCACGTCTTATCGCATCTGACACCATACCGCAGAAAAAATCTTTATCGTTTGACCAGTAATCTCTTTTGGTTGGTCGGGACGTATAACCAGTGATCACCATAACTCCTATTACGACTTTCATTTCAGTTAAAGTCACATTTGGATTTGGTGCATCATTCAAGACCGCGTATTTATTTGTTTCTTCACAAATAAGTTCCAAAATATCTTCACTGAAAAATTTTTCAAATTGTTGATGTGGTTGTAGATTACTGCAGTCAGTGTAATCGGGCTCTGGAAAGGCTAATCTATCACCAGTTCTTTCTTCAGCATCAAGCCACACCATATGATTTGTTTTAATATTTTTATTCGCTCGAGGAAGGCTTGGTCTGGATGTTGAGGCTCTTTTCGAGCCTCGTACTTCCAGCTTTCGTGGTGTTAGTTGAATAAATACTGCCTCCTTTTCAGGTGTTTTTTGCGCTACCTCTTCAGATTCGAATTCGGTGGCTTGCTGTGTAGAAGGGGCGCGTGGAATACTCACTTCCTCTGCTGACGTTGTTTTTTTCGAATCGCAAAATAACGATTTTGGAATACTATGAGTTGAAGTTGAGACTGGTGATTCCAAAAGACTAGTGTCTATGTTTTTGTATGAATTATTTACAACATCTGTTATGAACGCATTGATTTCCTCTTCTGGAACGGTGTCAGAGAGCATACTGTTTTCTCCTGACGGAGACACTAATTCACATGGAGCCATTAATTGCTTTCGCGGTAAATTTAGCAAATCACCACCATCATCTTCATCAGCTGAGTCTTCCCCCGAGAGCTTCTCTAGAAAAATTTAAATAAAAACAAACTCAACGTATTGCAAACGGTTGTAATGATAGCACCTTCATGTTTTGACCAGCTTTGACTACCTATTTTTCTTTTTTTAATGTTCGATATCTTTTTATAAAAGTGTTGCTCAATATCAAACGATAACCATATAAGTACAAGTTTCAAACTTTGTACAAAAATTAAAGAAATTCAACAAAGTTTTATCTAAATTCCAAGAATTTTAATAAGAGTTTCTAGAAAAAATTTTAATATGCGGTTTTAAAGCTTATTAAATTTTAGTATGTCTAATAAAGTGCAAGTTTGAAGTTTCTGAAAATTCTCGTGGAGTTTTTATAATTGCTGACGGTGTCGTGTACTTTCCTCAATATAACAAATGGTCGAACATATTTTGTATGGAAGAAAATGCGTAACACGTTCAGCAAAAACACAATATCAAAACCCAACGGGATTTTTTGGCAACCGCAAACTTGCACTTTATTGTACTAAAGTATGATAAGCTTTTAAACTGTTTACCAAATTTTTTTTAAGAAACTCTAATTAAAATGCTTGCAATTTCGATGAAACTTTGTTGAATTTTTCCAATTTTTGTACAAAGTTTTAAATTTGGATTTATTTGGTTTTTGTTATAATGAGCCATACTTTTTTAAATAAATACGGGCACTAAAAAATTAAAATAAAAGTAGTCAAAACTGGTCAAAATGTTGAAGTGCTATTACTTTGTCGCGAGCTGTATATAACTATTCAGTATTAAGACTGATGTTACATACATGTAACGCCGTCAATTTATGTCTGGCTATAAAAATTTAAAGCTCGAAAATCAAAATTTTTTGGCAAGAAATATTGTCCACATTTAAGAAAACACCACTGCATAAAAAACTTAACAGTTGTAATTACAAAAGTTCAAAAAAAAGAATACTTACCTCCTTCTGTTCGCCATTTGCTATTTTTTTGTTCTTCACTGAACACACGAAACTAAACGTGACTGATTTATTTCACTAACTGACATATACTAAACTACGAATGGCACAAAACGATTAAAGCATTCCTCCCAAATACATTTGCACTTGTATAAGCACCAATGTAATTCAATTTTATTTTTTATTTTCCTAAATGCAAACAGTATGGTCCCGTTACATGTATGTAACATACGTCGTTAATGGGTTAACATTTTGTTTTCGATGTGAATTAGTCTACGTTTGGCCATTTCGTAGCTCTGCGGTAATCTGATGTGATCGTCACGCCACAACAATCCAACTTCATACCGGTTTCCTATATTTTTTGTTGTTACCCGCAGAATTTCTCTGGCACGAATGTCTTCAGTCGATTCCAAAGGAGTATCTGTTTGCTTTACTCCGAAACTTTCTACACTAAAGTACTCGTCTACTAATTGATGTAATTTATGTGTAGTGAACGATTTCCGGACGTGGAAAACTTGCGCTGTAGGATTGATCTTAGATAGAGTTGGTCCATAAACTACCCAACCCAACGAAGTTTCAATGGCAATAGGTTCGTTGTTGCCAGCGCTTATTGTTTGCTTGGCGATACTTAAATGACTATTATCTAACCCAATAAGCAACGAGGGCTTAGCAGCAACATAGCTTGCTATCGGCAAGTTATCAAAATGTCCGAACTGACTTCGATTGAATGTTTGTATTGGCAAATCTAAACTCTTTACCGTGTGTACATTCTTTAATTGCGACGACATGGTATTATGTTCCATTTTAATGTCCAAGTTAACTACTCGAGACCTTTCAGTAATTTGATTTTAGTTATACCATTGTAAAGTGAGTGGTACAACGGGACCTTTAACCCCAAGGTCATTGGCGATACCTTCCTCAAGCAAGGTTATAGATGACCCTTCATCAACCATCGCGTAGACTGTAATACATTTACGAGGCCCGACTAGACAAACTGGCAAGATTTTGAATAAACAGGTGCTCTGGTTATCAACGCGGCAATTCAAAAAATGCTCACTATTGGCCTGTATAGGTGATATCACAGCAGGTTGTACTGAGGCAGACGTCTCACCTTTTAAATCAACTGCCTGATGAAACAAAAGATTGTGATAGCGGTTACAGTCATCAAGCCGACATACCTTTTTTGATCCGCATTCCAGTAGACTATGTCCTCGTTGAAGGCAACCAAAACATAGGCGGTTGGCCTTTACCAACTTCCATCTATTGTTAACACTGAGTGCTTTAAACTCTTTGCAGACATTTAACTTATGATTCTGCTGACATTTAACGCAGGACATTTGCTTTTCCTGCATTTGCGTTTGTTTGTTTGACTCGGTCCCACTGCTGTAAAGCACTCGACGTGGCACATTTGCATTCGACGAACGATTCGGTGTTAGCGTATATGATCGCATGGCTGACGATGACGGTGGAACGTTCCGCTGCGATGAAGAAAACATTGATGGCTTAAGAGTAACAACCCTGGCAAGGTCGGTAATCCAGTTAGCGAAATCTTCCATAGTCGGATACGGTGACGTTGTTGCTGAATGCTGACTCCCTCAAACTGCTTTGAGGGTGGCAGCTTAAGAATAAGTTGCTCTAATAACATTGGATTCAACAAATGTTGTTCACAGTTTGCTGACCTCAAGAACGCGACGACGTTTCGAACTTGATTTGATAATTCAACAACTTTTTCAAGTTGGGTTTCACTAATAGCTGGAAACTGTTGAATTTTTTGCATTTGAACTCTTCTCAGTAAACCTGGGCGACCAAAATTAAATTGTAGCTCTTCCAACACAAGAGGCACATTGTCGGGATAAATTAACAATGAAGAAACTACACGCTTAGCATGACCATGTAATGCTTTATGAAGTCGCATTAGATTCTGCCTATTATTGTATCCAAATTCGGTAGTGGTATCTCTGTAGCTAGCTCTAAACAAAGGCCAATCCTCTGGGTTGCCATCGAAATTTGGCAAAGGATACAATTTAGCTGCTGCGTTGTCAACAAAAGACACCATGCCCCTTTGTTGCAATGTTGAGTTCGGCGGTTGCATAAATTGAGACTGTGGTATGGAGTTCGAATCTGTCTGGCGATAATGTATTGATGGCTGAGGAAATCGTGGTACTGATGGCTGCGAATATTCAGCTTGCGACTGTGGACAATATGGTCCCGACTGTAAATTCCTCATAGTTGTAGACACAAACGACGACGGCATATGCTGGTTAGATGTATTATGTGGCAAAATATTGTTGAAGTGCCCCTCAGTAGCGGAAGCTGTTATATTTACATTATTCTGTAAATTTCTCACGGCCGTAGTTGTAGGTAACGATGATAGCATATGCTGGCTAGCTGTATTATCTGGTAAAATATTGCTGAAGTGCTCCCCAGTAGCGGAAGCTGTTGCATTTACATCAGTATTGTCTGAAGGCTTATTTGGCATATGAGATGCGGCAATGTTGTTATCACCCATCTTGACTTCGTTTTTAATTTGTTGTGTTTCACGGCTTAGCTCGCTTACGGACTCCTTCAAAGTATTAATGCTTGCTAACAATGCGGCAAATTGATCGTGCGTTATGACACAATTCGATGAATTTTCCATTGTATTTCTTTCAACAAAAGTATTGTCTAAGCTATCAGAGTCATTTGACATTTCTTCTATTTCTGTTGCTACACTCTGCTCAATAACCTTTTCGTTTTCTTTTGCTTGATTTCTTGTCAGCATGATGTTCAGCAACTGAACCAAATGAAAGCAAGCGAGACAAAATTACTTGTAAATATGTATTTACACATCTGTATTTAAAAGGAATTTCTAGAACTGCAAACTTCTGGTTGCAAACTGATTGCAAGGCCTGCTTATGACTACGACTGAAAAACGTTGACTGCGATGCTCAATATACACTACGATAACTGAGTTTATGAGTTGATTCGACGATTTCAACTAGACTACGGTGGCTGCGAAGCTAAATGTTGAACGTTTTCTGTACAGCTCAATGTTGAACGACGTGGACTGCAAGCTCAAATGCTGGCGCCTGTGGCTGCGAAACTCAATGCTGAACGTTTCTGTACAGCTCAATGTTGAACGACGTTGACTGCAAAACTCGATGCTGGCGACTTTGGCTGCGAAACTCAATGCTGAACGTTTCAACAACTGACGATTTGAATTTCTTTTATGCAGCACACATACAATTCCAAATACTGCACGAGATGGAAAGAATGACACAAGATAATATACGATGACTGGATGACGCGTCGAACTGATCGACAAATATGGCTGACCCTTCTGCCAATCTTCGTAAGTCGGTTCATTCGTGGAAAATATGTATGTACAGTGAAACCTCTCCTCACGGACACCTCTATTAGACGGACACCTCCCTTGGGCGGACATTTTTTCCTATACCAAGTTTTAAGTATAAATTTCGGAACAAATTACTCTCTCTTAAGCGGACACTCTCTTGGCCGGACGCGGACAGTTATTTTGCATAAAATTGACACAAAAACTCTATTGGGCGGACGCGAACCTCTTATCAACGGACATTAAGATTTCTTTTCATAACAAATCAAACAAAAACCTCCGTTGAGCGGACGCGAACTCCTCATAGGCGGACTACTAAATGGAAAAAGGGGACTTCCCGCACAAAATGTGATTGTTATGCACACATTTAGTTTGGTTTGCGCAGTGGTTTCGGTTCGTTATTTGAATTGTCAGAAATTGGAGACTGATAAAAACATGAAAACTATTGATTAAAAAGGTACTGACACTGAAAAAAATTAAAAATAAAACTTACGTCAATCGACAATTTCCCAGTTTTTTATGTAATGAATCTATGGTTTTATGTAGTTTATGGACTGGAATGTAAAATTTATTTTATTTGGTTTTTACTTAATATGTACTTAAGCACATAAATGAAATATTCCCTTTTAAAAAAATACATGCACATTTTTGTTTGAACGATGTAATATCAATATCTTTTATTCAAATAAGAAATAGTGACTATTCAATTAAATAAAACATTAAAAAGTTCTAAAATAGGCTTCCCCTTCATTAAGCGGACACCTCTCTTGGGCGGACAAAAAATGACTGACGGTGAGTGTCCGCCCAAGGGAGGTTTCACTGTATTTATTTTATGCAAAGACAATTCGGTATAACTCGAATGTACCAATGTTGTAAGCAAATTTGTAACTTAATGTCGACGAAATGAATAAAAACAAACCGTTTAAAACGCCTTTAAGGCAGAACTTCAAACTTTATTTTAATTTAATTGACACTTTAGCGCATGCTAGTGCGCGTTACAAATTTGGTGCTTACTCTACGACGAAGTGAAAAAGATGCTCGCATTCAGTGCAGAGTTGCCATGTCGTTGTATTGTGGCGAAGAGTTGCCATGTGATTGTATTGTCTTGCTGACACACATTTTTATTTTCACTTTTATATGATTTTAAAATGTTGGCAACCTTAAATTAAAAAATCATGGCCGACAAATTGAGAGAACGTTTCTACCTTGCTATGTTTTTATCATGCTTTCAATCTTTCCTTTCAATTAAGTTTTAATTTTGCTTCAATTTTGATCACCTATTCATCATTGACAGGCGAATTTCGAGAAAACAAGAAAATTATTAGGCTTTTGAATGCTAAAAAGCTAACATACAATGCAATTTAGAATAGCAAGTGGCCTTTAAAAGCGGATTAGTTGGCTGTTTTCTTGAGAACGGCGCGTTGACAATGAGATTGCTTCTCAGAGTGAATTCAGCCTACCTAATGGCCTTCAATTGGAAAAGACCTCTCCGAGCCGTTCGCCACAAAACGGGGTTTCAGACGGGGCGACTCCCTTTCATGTGACTTCTTTAATCTGATGTTGGAGAAGATAATAAGAGCTGCAGAACTGAACCGCTCAGGAACAATTTACTATAAGAGCGTGCAATTGCTGGCTTAAGCCGATGACATCGACATCATCGCTAACAAAAACCGCGAAGTCTGTTCTGCCTTTTCCAAGTTGGATAGGGAAGCAAAGCGAATTGGTCTGGTGGTAAACGAGGACAAGACGAAGTATCTCCTGTCATCAAACAAACAGTCAGCACATTCGCGCCTTGGCACCCACGTCACTGTTGACAGTTACAATTTCGAGAAAGTAGAGAATTTCGTTTACTTGGGAACCAGCATTAACACCGATAATAATGTCAGCATTGAAATCCAACGTAGAATTACTCTTGCCAACAAGTGCTACTTTGGACTGAGTAGGCAATTCAGGAGTAAAGTCCTCTCTCGACGTACGAAAACCGCGCTCTATAAGTCACTCATCATGCCCGTGCTGGTATATGGCGCAGAAGCATGGACAATGACAACATCCGATGAGGCGGCTCGTGGAGTGTTTGAGAGAAAGATTTTTCGGAAGATTTACGGGCCTTTACGCGTTGGCGACGGCGAGTACCGCAGACGATGGAACGATGAGCTGTATGAGCTTTACAACGATATGGACATAGTGCAGCGAATTAAAATACAGCGGCTCCGCTGGCTTGGTCATGTCGTTCGAATGGACACCGACGCTCCAGCTCTGAAAGTATTCAACTCGGAACCCGCTGGTGGTAGCAGAGGAAAAGGGAGGCCCCCACTGCGATGGAAAGATCAGGTAGAGAAGGACTTGGCTTCACTTGGCGTTTCCAATTGGCGTCAGTTGGCACAGAGGAGAAACGACTGAACTCGGCCATAATCGCTTAGGCGGTTACAGCGCCAAAAAAGAAGAAGAAGAAGAATGGCCTTCAATTTTTATGATTTTTGACAAGCAATGTGTGTAAGAAAATGAAAGGCAAGGTTGATCGTGTGTCGTTAGCGTCAAAGCAAAAGTCGAGCTATTTCCTATTAAATTGCTTGCTAGTATGTACTCGGATGTATTTTAAAGGTGTTATTTATTTTTATTGTTTGGTGTGTATACATCTTTGATTTCGGTAGGGGTAAAATTTGCGAAGCTGTAACGCATATCCCAGCACAAAATTTCGAAGGGCTTAGCATGTGTATTTCAGCATAAACTTTTTATTTCCATTAGAAGCACCCTGTGTTTGCTTGCTATTGTAAATGGTTGCATACATTTAGGCATATGCATAGTAAGAGAAAATGCGCTACAATTGATTATTACTTCCGATTATTTAAACTCCGCACATGCATACGGCTTTGTACCTATGTATGTACATAAATATATATGGACTCATTTGTTGCAACTGGGCATGAATCACGTAACTTTGAAACGATAGTCGTTCAAACGATAATGACAAACCAATGTTGTCAAAACACTGATTTATGCATTTATGTTGCTGTTACGTGTTACTGTTAAGTGAAGCAAAACTGGAATCGAGTTGACGATATCGCACAAACGATCAAACAATTTTTGATTTTTATGAAGCAAGACAATCTCGACACGATATCGTTCAGACGATTGCCGTCATACGTGATTCATGCCCTGGTTTTGATATTCGTAGATGGTTTTAGGCATAGGATTAGTAGTCTATTTTGATAAAAAATCAAGGCGAAAACTTAAAAAAATACTGGAACCATTTTAACTGGGACCGTTGATAACTGATGAACATACATGAATATATCGTCGTCTAAAGTACAAAACCGCGTATCGTAATTCTGCAAAACCGCGTAACTGACATTGGCTGCCAAAAATTGGATTTGCTCACACAAGCTCTTGGCTCAATCCTTATCCATTCGTCCTGAAATATACTAGCCAGAAATGTGATTGCTTTATAAAAAAGAGAACCTTTTTGAAATATGAGTGTTTTTACGCTCTAGAAAATAATTTCTACAACTTCACATACGCGGTTTTGCATTTTGCTGATACGCGGTTTTGCATTTTGTTGATACGCGGTTTTGCACTGCAAACGACGATATGTATGTATAATATGCATATGTATGGATGATATAATAGCTCTGATCCAATATTTTTCATGTAAAATCCTGGAAAAAGGACAAACAGCAAAATCACTCTCTGAAGTGAGAGTAAAAAGTGAGTAACAGCAAAACGTACGGAACAAAGAAGCATCGGGTAAAATCCTGCAAATTCAATCTCTACACAACTCTCCCAAAAATCGCTCTCATTTACATGAACCACAGATTATATTCCGAAAAGAAAAACTAAATTTAGGAATATATACAAATAGAAATGCTCAAACTATAAGCTTAAAAACAATAACTGATTCGGTGTTTCCAAGATATTTTAACGCCCTTGAGTCGCAAGTATATACAAGTATCATATTTTATCAATCATACCGATAATTTCATGTATTAAAAAATTAAAAATGAAAATGAATAAAAAAATTTAATCAGCAAAATTAATTAAATTAGGTGAAATTAATGTTTAATTTCTAACCTAACCTACATTTGTATGTATGTAACTGAATCGCCTAATAATAGCTTTACATATAAAAAGATTATCCTAATTTTCGAGCTTAACTTCCTAATTCTGTTCACCATTGGAGCCATTTCGATTTGTTTGCTCGTTTACCTTGTTAATAAGAAGAGGAATTAATAAACGCGTTTTATATTGAGAGAAAAAAAGACGAAAAAAATCAAATAAATTACATTTAATGTGTACGGGATATAAGTGAACCTTGCAAAGATCGTATATCGATGAAAATATAAGTGAAAAGTGCTCTTTTTATGGAACTTTGCCGGTGAAACTGCAAGGAGTTTAACAACAAACAAAGGAAAGCGGAGAAACCACGTAAATATACATGGGGTCTTAGCATTCCCGGCAAGTTCCATGAGAAAATACATGATAGTGTGCTAAACCACCCTGATAGTGAAAGGGATTGGAGGGGCAAACCTTGGACGGCTACTTAGGCCAATTCACGCCAGGGTAAACTCCAAGTTAGTAATGAAACTAACCAGTTAGCTCGGCCGCAACGCAATTCTCCAACTTTAGGATTTTGACTGATCCATATACACACAAACACTAATAAACGTTTTGTTTTAGGTTTAGGCGACCGTGCCGTAGCGGCAGCCCCGCCATAGTAAAAACCGGTAACAACACGGATTCAACCGGCAGCAGCCACACAGGCAACCTCGACGACGTCTGCCACAGCAGCCGGGCAGTAGCATACCGGTAACAGCACCGGCATCAACGGCATCGGCTGCCACAGCAGCAGGCGAAACCACAACACCAACCATTACGGCACCAACCGGGGTGAGCACCCGGGAACGGCGACAACAACACAGCAAAAACAGCAGCGGCTGCTACAGCAGCAGGCGAAACCACAACAACAACCTTTACGGCATCAACCGGGGTGAGCACCCGGGAACGGCAACA